CATTCAAATTACTCTTACAGTAGCTTATTGTGTAATATCCTACCGTTAAGTGCATTGATTTCCCTAAGAGGACATAGCATGGGTATGATATACATGTCCCCTAATCTTAGAGTCTGCTTTCTTAGCTGACCTACCCAAGACCTTCCACCAAAGCCCCTTTTTCCACTTTTTCCTCAGGATGCCCCTTACTTGGACTTGGCCCCCTACATGCCTGACTACTATAAACCTCAGTACCTGCTGGACTTTGAAGACCGCCTTCCTAGCTCAGTCCATGGCTCAGACAGCCTGTCCCTCAACTCCTTCAACTCTGTCACCTCCACCAACCTGGAGTGGGATGACAGTGCAATTGCCCCATCTAGTGAGGGTAAGTGGCCCCAGGGGCAGAAGGGGGCTGAGGGTCTACTACAACACTGATTCTGAAGCTGCCTAAGTCTAAGTGAACCTTACTTTGCTTGTTTTGGCTCAGAGGTTGAAATTTGATGTTAAACAGAGGCAGCCATAACCTAGATCAGATTCTGGGGACAGATAGCCAAGGTGATATTTTCTTAGTGTTAATCCTTTTCTGGGGCAGTGATGGTTCTGAAGTTAGAATTTTCACCTTTCATGTGGAAGACCCGGCTTCAGTTCCTGAACAGTGTACTTCAGGTGGACCTACTACCCCTTTGTCAGTAGACGCTTGCTCTTGCTGTGATGCTGAATAAGTACAGTGGAGTTTCCAGAGCAAGATGAATGAGGAGGAAAGGCCTCGTTATCTATGAGGAATCAGCTGGTGGAAACCCCATAGAACACAACAGGCTGGTCCTGTTGTCTCTGGGGTAGCCATGAGGCAGGTAGCCGACTAGACAGAGAGCAACAGACCATTTTCCACAGGGCTGTGGTCATGGGGCAGCTTTCTGAGTAAGAAGGGATTAGTACCGTGCAGGAACAAGTGTTGTCTGCTTTGGGAAGGTTGTCCTACCCTAGATTCTAGGCAAAAAGACGCTAAGCAACCCTCAGAAGGAGAAAAGCCAGGCAGGTCAGAAGTGTAGGGGAAAGCTTACCGAGTGTCTCATCTGTCCATCTAATTTCTTGGAGTCCCTCCTACACTTGCTAACTTGTTCAAGGTGATCACAGCCATTGCATCAAGGACTTGGAAAACAAATGTTACTGAGTTGATATAGCTCATCGCAAGTTTATGTAGCTCATTACGTTGGGCAGACCAAACAAGCTAGTTTCTCTGAAACCTTGGGCCTCATGTTAATTTTCTAAAACTAGCTTCCTCATCTTCATCCTGTGTGGGAAAGCAGATCCCATCATTCACTTATCAGCCTTACCTCCAAAGAAGGGAATCCAAGTGCAAGGTCAGCCCCTGGGGCTCCCTAGAATTGCCTCAGCATTGAGACCCTGGCCTTCCTGGTTCTTTAGTTCTGCTTGTGCCTCTGGTCAGAGGTCCCAAGGGAAGGGACTTACATTGCTCGTTGTATACACTGAACCGCTGGCACTTTGGGTTGGGCCTTGTAGGATCAGTCAGACTGCAGGGCTGGAGATAGCCCCATAGTCCCCTCATCTTTCCCATTAGAGATGCTACAGCTGGAGCCTCTGGAGGGGGACCTTGTGACCCCCCTAGGGCTTGGAGGGGGGAGGAGAGGATAGGGATCAAAACGAGGTTAACTACAAAGGAACTCAGGTTCTTCTCTGGCAGAGAACCAGACACTGGGTTTGCAAACAGATCACCCCCTGATCTCATCCCACCCCAAGGTCTTGCTAGCCAGAGGCTCCTGGGCAAGCGTCTGGCCACGAAAGCTCTCCTGAGGGTGTTAGAGAAAACATAGAGTGTTGGAATTTTTCCTCTCGCTCTCTCCCCATGATTCCCACCCCACCTCCCCTCCCCACCCTCCCTTCCACTACCTGTTTCTAATCTTCAGTTTTGTCCCTCATTTTTATAGATTATGATTTTGGAGATGTGTTTCCAGCAGTGCCGTCTGTACCCAGCACAGACTGGGAAGGTGGGACAGAGTCCGCTCTTTACCCTCTTTTTCCTGTTTTGCCATGTTTCCTTGCCAAGCTTGCTGCATGTGTCAAAATCAGTTCCTTCTTACTTATAATAATGTCAGTGATCCTAATAAAGCTAAGTCTGGTGTTCTGATAGATGGAATTCTACGGAGAGCACTTGGCCCACACCTAGCTTCAGGGGAATCCCTTCTCCCAGGGCAGGACAGCTGCTTTTACTCTGGGGCCTGTGAGCTCACTAAGTGTCTTTCAGAGAACATGCTGGTCACCCTTCCTGTTCCAGTGTCAGTGGAGGTGGATAGGGAGCTGCTTATCCCAGTGAGTGAGACTTGTTCTGCAAAATGTCCATTAGGTCAGACAAACTCCCATGATACCAGAAGCATCAAGGAACAGAGACAGAGGGTTTGGCTTGCTCATCCATTTAGGATGGTTTCTTCTCAATAATTCTGAAAGAGACTGAGGTCCATCTGTGATAAATTCCCTGGGCACAGCAGAAACTTCCGGCTGGGAGACTCTGAAGTTTAAAGGCAGATTAAAGTTGGTCACCTTGCCACTTGGTCTGCATGTCTTTGCCTGCAACCCACTCCTGGGCTTGTGTACATTCATACAGCTGCTTACCTGGTTCCCATGATTATGCAATGCATTTCTGAGAAGGTTAATGCTACTACCTTAAATCAGACCCTCTTTAACTGAAGCACCTCTGGTCCTGTGGGTCACTTTCTGCTGGGGGGCCCAGTCTTATGAAGGGGGAGATGCTGCCCATCTCAGCCTGTCAAAGGTTGAACAGGCAGCTGTCCCCACTGCCTGAGCTGGACCCGGGATCTCTGAATAGTGGATGACAGATGATCTTTCCCCATGTCCTCTTGAGTATGGAATAGCTGAGTTCTAAGGGAAACAAAATAGGGAATTGGGGAAAATCAATTACACCATGTAGCTGAGAGAGTAGCACTGAAGAATCCTATGATTAGCTTGAGATCCAGAATTCCATCATAACATCATTTATTCTTAGCCTCTCTCCTTGCGGCATACATGCTGGGCATTGATTTTTTTTCCCTCCCTCTCTAACAACTAACCCTCCTCCTGACCCAGCTACTTCCTGCCTGTTGCAAAGCCTGCACTTGACAAGCAGGACTGACCTCCCTCTGCAGCCCTCCAGAAAGCCCTCCCTGTGGTCTGAGAACTAACAGCCCCTTGTTGCACTGCTTGCCCTGGGTAGGGCTGAGTCCTGCGGCAGGGCGAGGTTTGTGCCTGCTGCAGAGGTCTCCTGCCTTCCCCAGCTCCTCAAACCAATGTTGGAGAATTCCTGAGCACTCTAGCAGCCCATCCGAAGAGGCTTTGTCTTCTCACTCAGACCTGGAGGAAATCTGAGCTTGGGGACAGCTCCAAACTCAGAACTCTATGGGGAGGGAATTGAGGACATATTTTCATGGTTGTTGGCTTATTTGCAGATAAGTGGGGGTGTCCTAGCCTTGACATCCAGCATAATCTATGAGTTCACTCACCTCTGAGGACATGTCCCTGAACCAACTGCAAATGCTGAGGAAAATCCTAAGGGCTTGACAAGGACAAAGGGTTGTTGCAGGGGCCTTTTGGGAGGCCAAAGAGCATGGTTTTCTGTATCTGAGAACTTAGGCTTAGAGGTACCAGGAAATCTGTAGAAACCTCGTGTATCACTGGAGTCTTGGGTAGCACAGCTAGCAGTTGCCTGTCTCCTCCTTTGTCCCTACATTAAAAAACACTATGTTTTTAAAAAAGACAATGCTCCTATCCACATGGGATCCAGTTGACAAGCACAACTTAGAATATTAGCCAGAAACTGCAGCGGCCAGTGAGTTCATGTTCATGGGGGAGGGGTAGTTGTGAGAATGGCTGCACAGCTTGACCAGTGTGATTGTTGTCACGGAATTGCACACACAAAATTTGCCGGATTTGTCTGTCTTCTGTTGTGTATATTCTCAAAAGCAGAGAATGAAATGCATTTTTTAAAAAAAAAAAAAAAAAGGCAATTTCTTCTTTATGAACAATCTATTTTCTAAAAAAGAAAATGGACAGTGTGCTGGGTCAGCAGACAGCTGCCCAGTAGTCAGCAAGGCCCACACAGAAGCTGCCAGCAGGTTGGGCCCCTCTGGACAGGGCTATCGAGAGCGTTTTGCCACGTCTCCTCTGGGCAGATAATGACCGTTGAGATGTGTGTAAACTAGCAAATGGAGCGTGAATGTCCTGGGTCCCTTGCCATTAGCCCTCACCCGGGCTTTTCCTCCATCTGGGACTCAGCTGTCTCTCTGCTGGAGTGTCACCCATCTGGAACAAGAGAAATGCCCTGGGTGGTTTTCCTGCTGGCATCTCCCCCTGCCCTGCCCCTGGGACTAAGGGTACATGATGGGAAGGAAGCTCCACCAACTCTTCTCTGGACAGACAGGCAGGCCCCCACCCCACCTCTCCTGCCTTCTCTCAAGGATGGAGAAAGGCCAGGAGACAAGCTGAGGGTGGAGTAGAATTGAGTTTCCTGCCCTCCTTCAGGGGCACCCACCCCTTTGGGAAGGTGCTGCCTGGAGGTCAGGGAGAGGAGCAGCTCTGAAGGGGCCAGGAGCATCTGTGCCGTCATCTCTTTGTTCTCCCCTCTCTCTCATCTCTGCCCCTCCACATTCTCCCTATTCCTTTAAAGGGCTCCCTGGCCTCACAGACCCACTCTGGGCCCATTTTCTCTCACTCTTCTTTCTGTCTCTTCCTTTGAGCTCCCCCTCTATTTGTCATTGCCTGGGACCCTTCAGAGGGGCCTTTAGGGATCTCTCAGTCTGACCTGTGGGGCTAAGGGGCCTCTGGGTACCCTTCTAACATCCTCTAACAGGCAGGAGGGCTTGCAGGTTAACCTAAGAGGTGTGTGGATCTCCCCTTTGTGATGCTCACTTACTCTTGGCGACATCAAGGTCATTATCGCCAAGGGCCTTTGCCTAGGGACTGTTTGACATTGGGGCTCTTAACACAAATGCAGACAAATCTTTGCGTGCTCTCGAGGGCTCTCAGTGGTAATGGCATTGGTGGCCTCTCCACTTCCTGTTAGGTAGGACTTTTACTCTTGAAACGGCTGCCTGCCCCCCTCCTGAGATAAGGCAGATTTTAGGGGGCCTGAAGTCCCTACATGGTGTCCGATGTGCTGTACCCCACGTTCTCATTCTCCCAGATGGAGACCTCACAGACACCGTCAGTGGCCCCCGCTCCACGGCCTCAGACCCGACCAGCAGCAAGGCCTCCACCAGGAGTCCCACCCAGCGCCACAACCCTTTTAATGAGGACCAGGGGGAGGGTGTGTCGTCCTCTGACACCACCCCTGTGCACACCACCTCTCTGGAGAAGGGGGAGTCCCACGCCCTGGACCTGCCAGAAGCCGGCACTGAGCTCGAAGTCATCAGGTTAGTAGTGGCAGCGTGATCACCTGTGGGCCGTCAGAGACCTCCTAACTTTATAGTTCTTGGAACACAAATAAGTCCCCAGTCCTGGGAAAGGTGCAGGGCAAGCCAGGCCTTGGCTCTCAGGACACTTGTCCAACAGGACCAGAAATCCCCCTCTAGGACGGCCTGTTTTCCAAGGCAGTTCTTGGGAGTTAATGTAGTTATTGTGATTTCTACACATTCTGAATCTCTTAAGTTTGTTCACCTGCTTAACCATGACACAGAAGGGAAGGAGGAAACTCAGCCCAGAGCCCTCTCGGCTCCCAGCCTCCCCCAGCCCTGTCTCCTGAGACCATAGCCGTGAACAAGAGGGGAGGCCATGTGTGTCTAGCTTTCTGTCCCCTCCTTGGTTGGGAATGGAGGAGGCTCCCCAGCACTGGAGCCAGAAATCCTCCTCTCACAAGCTCTTCCAGTGCAGAGCAGTGTTATTGACTCAGACAGACTGGGGTGGCTTGGCCAAGCCCATTCTGGCCACCTTGGAGCCAAAGTTTGTAGGGTATGAGTTTGACTCCCAAAAAGTACATTGTTTGGACCACGAATCCATGATTGTAGCTAATAGATATTGAGGTCTGTTTAGGGCCCATTGCCAGCATCCTAGGCGAGGGCTGAGCAGAGGGGGTTGTGGTCTTGCCAGTACAGCATGATTCTGTCTCCTAGGGGAGATAACGTGAGCTAGCTCAGTGCTTCCTGTCAGCTGGAACTCCATACGACCCTCTGTGGGATCCCATGACTGGTGCCCCTGCGCCTCCGTGGCACTGTTCCCAGCCCTGCCTCCTCCTCCTGTCTCGGGGCTGCGGTGCAGCTGCCCACTGACCAAGTCCCTCTTAGCACTCTGGCTGTGTCCTCTGAGGCCCCACACCCAGGATCACCTCATTGACCCAATCTCATTCCCTCAGTATTCGGATGGATGTTAGATCTCCCTTATCTCTGTTGTCCCAGGGTCACTAAGAAGAAGAAAGTTGGCAAGAAGAAGAAAGCCAAGTCAGATGAGGAAGCAAGCCCCCTTCACCCAGCCTCCACACAGCACAAATGCACCAGGCACGGGGCTGGCCCAGGCCGAGGGCAGGACTCACCAGACCCGACCCTGGCTTCGCCCCCAGAAGAGAGCGAGGGGCCTGGTAGTGCCGCTGAGAGCAGTGAATGTGCCTCGCTTGGCAACATGGGCCTCCTCATCCCTGCAATGAAGGACACCTCCATGGAGCGCCTCGGACAGCCTCTAAGTAAGGTCATCGACCAGCTCAATGGGCAGCTGGACCCCAGCACCTGGCATGCCCACGCACAGAAGCCAGATCAGTCCTTTCGGACTGGCTCTCCCGGGGATGCCCCGGAGAGGCCACCACTTTGCGACTTTAGTGAGGGGCTTCCAGCCCCCATGGACTTCTACCGCTTTACCGTTGAGAGTCCAAGCACTGCTGCATCAGGTGGCGGCCACCATGACCCTGCAGGGCCTGGCCAACCGCTGCATGTTCCTGGTAGCCCTGCGGCTGCTGGCCAAGAAGAGGAGGGAGGAGGAGGAGGAGGAGAGAGACAGGCGCCTGGACCCCTAGAGGACCCCCAGGAGCCAGAGCCTCAGAAACTGGAGACCCAGTTGCCAGTGGTCAGTGAAGGGCCAGTGCCTGAGCCAGAGCCTGAACCGGACCCTGAGCCAGAGTCTGAGCCTCAGGAGACATTGTGCCAGCTTAAGCGAGACCAGCCCAGCCCGTGTCTGAGCAGCGCAGAGGACTCTGGGGTGGATGAAGGGCAAGGGAGTCCTTCTGAGACGAGCCACTCATCAGAGTTCAGGTGAGACTCCCATCTCTGGAGCTGGGCCTCGGGGCCTCTGAACCCCAAGTAAGTGAAGCACAAACTCCTGGAAGACCTCACGTGCGTGGATTGGGAGGCACAATCACATTGGTGTGGTCTGCCTCCCTGACTTGGGCTCCTGGGGGAAGCAGGAGCCCCTCAAGCTCGCTGCCTCTCCCGCCGGCCGTCTGCCTGACCTCTCCCCACACTTGTCCCTCTCACAGAGTAGACAACAATCACTTGCTCCTGCTGATGATTCATGTGTTTCGAGAAAATGAGGAGCAACTGTTCAAAGTAAGTTCCAGGAGCACAAGAACGAGCCAGAGAGGAAGCAGCGAGGGGCGGGCAGGGCAGCCCGATCAGCAGGGGTGACATCTTCCCCAGTGGGGCCCGGCCCCCGCCCCTGAACCCTGTCTGCTTCTGCCCTCAGATGATCCGGATGAGCACCGGGCACATGGAGGGCAACCTGCAGCTGCTGTACGTGCTGCTCACAGACTGCTACGTCTATCTGCTCCGCAAAGGTGCCCGCAGCCCTGGGCCAGGCCGGGACGTCTGCTCAGGGCTCCTTTCCCTAGTCACCCCACTCTCTAGGCAGCTCTCAGCTGCCACAAGTAGTCACTTCAGGAAGCTGCTGCTGGTCCCAGCAGGCCGAGCATGAGACCACAGCCCTCCCCTCATGCCAGTCTCCAGCTCTGTCCTTTCTGAGTGCAGGACAAGGAGGGGCCTCACTACCGGAGAAAACAAGGGGGAGGGACAAGAAATTATTCTTGAGCTAATAGGCATTGGGGTCTCCTCTCTCAAGGGGCCACAGAGAAGCCATACCTGGTGGAAGACGCTGTTTCTTACAATGAGCTTGACTATGTATCGGTGAGTTCAAGCCCAATAGTCTAAGGACAGGTCTCTGGATCTGCCCAGGCAAAGAGCTTCAGGGCAAGACGTGTCCCCCAGCTGCCCACTCAGGGAAGCCTCTGCAAATGATTCTGGGCGTAAACTCAAAGAGTATCGCTTCTTGGGCATTTTTTCTGACCACCCCTCCCAAATTCACACCAGAGCCCCAGGCCACTGGGGCCAGTGAGCATTGCCCCCACTCCCACCCCATTCAGCCCTCAAAGAGCATAGCTGCCTCCCATGAGGGCAGCAGCTGAAGCTGCAGGTGCATGTGAGTGTGTGGTCTCTGGCAGGTCGGCCTCGACCAGCAGACAGTGAAGCTGGTATGCACCAACCGCAGGAAGCAGTTTCTACTGGACACAGCAGACGTGACGCTGGCTGAGTGAGTGACTCTTCTGCCCCTACGGCAAGACTAGACACTGCCCCTGAGGGTAGGAGACAAAGACGTGGAGAACAGCAAGGTTCCCTCTGGAAGCATAGGCTGGTCATGGAGGCGAGAAGGCAAACAGTCACCCTGTGGAGTTGAGTCCTGTGGTTGACCTAGGTGACCTCAGACCCTCTGTGACCCACAGAGAAGGGATGTGACGTGACCTGCCCAGCAGCCCTGCTGGGGCATAGTGCACCCGCAGATGCGCACATATGAAAGTTCCACGCAGGAAGATCATGGCTTGCTGGAAAGGCTTGATTCATGGTTCATCATCGAAGTCCTGCTGGCCACTGCCCTGTCCAGTCTTTTCTTAGTGTCAGAAATCCCAAGCCTTTTGGTCACTGGGACTGGTTAGCCTTTACCCGGTCACCTTTTGATACCCATAGGCTGCTACCACATTATACCCTGGTGACTCTCAGGTCCCACCCCTGAGTCTCTGAATCTCTCCCCTGAACCCTGCCTGGTGGAGGGTGGGTTAAGGATTCCTCAGGCCTCTGACAGCAGTTCCTACTCCCCATGCAGGTTCTTCTTGGCTTCTTTGAAGTCAGCCATGATCAAAGGCTGCCGGGAACCACCCTACCCCAGCATCCTGACCGATGCCACTATGGAGAAGCTAGCCCTGGCCAAATTTGTCGCTCAGGAATCCAAGTGTGAGGTAGGAACCTGGGGACGAGGGTCCTGGCCCTCTGCTAGCCAGCTTCGGACTAGTATTAAGTGGTGCAAATAGATTCTTTAGCATTTCTCAGTTTCCCACCTGGAAGGGGTCTCCAATCTTAAGCCTGTCCCCCTCCCAACTGGAGTATGTCCTGAGGTTAAAACAAAAGCTTCTCTTAGTGCAACAATGAATGAATGGAAACCCAAAATCTCTGTAAATGTTTATGAAAATTAATAAAATATAATTATAGAAAAAAAAAAAAAACAAAAGCTTCTCAATGGCCGTTTCTCATCCTGGGCTCCGAGTTATACAAAGCTCAGCCGCCCAGCTGGCCCAGACCTTACCAGTCTGTTCACTGCCCACAGGCATCTGCTGTTACTGTACGCTTCTATGGGCTTGTGCACTGGGAGGACCCCATGGACGAATCCCTGGGCCCCATATCTTGCCACTGTTCCCCCTCTGAGGGCACCATCACCAAAGAAGGCATGCTGCATTACAAGGCGGGCACCTCCTACCTGGGCAAGGAACACTGGAAGAGCTGCTTTGTGGTGCTCAGGTGGGAGCCCCCACATCTCTAAGCCTCAGTCTCAGACCCTGGGTTTGTGGGCTAGCAGGTCCCCAGCAGGGACCTCCCTGCTGCAAGTCACTGAGGAGAGAGGCCTGGGGAAACCATTTCTCTTCAGGGATTTGGAGCAGACATACCCCATAATAGGACAGAGCCAGCTATCAGCCCAAGGAGTCCCAGAATGCCTTACGTGAAGATCTGGGCTAGGTCCCCCTGGACATGCCTTCAGCTGTCCCCTCAGGCCTGAAGATGTCTGCTGGGGCACCAGTGAGCCTTGCTGCCCTCTGCAGTACTTCCTTCACCTCCCTTCCATAGAGAACAGGATCCTAGGTTCTTTGGCCTCTGAGGTTTGTGGGAGTGACCCCTGGGCCCTCTCCAATTCCTTGGGGAGCTCTCACCCTGCTCTGTTGGTCCCTGCAGCAATGGGATACTCTACCAGTATCCAGACCGTACGGATGTCATCCCCCTGCTCTCGGTGAACATGGGGTGAGCTGTGGGCGATGGAGGGTGGGCAGACGGTGGGGCTAGTGTTGCCATGCTGGGCCCAGCATTTCCCATTTCCCCTACTCAGAGGTGGGTTTCCCTCTTGTTGGGTTAACCTCTCTCCTTCACCCTTGACCCATCTCATAGCCCTGCGCGCTGCAGAGAACCCCTGGGAGACCCTAATTGATGGGGGCACACATACTAAGGATAAACACCAGGCCACCATGCCGAGCAGGCTCATCTGAGAGCCGGTGCCCCTTGCCTGACCATGCTTCAGGACCGGGAAAGACCTTAGTAATGCTGGGAGGAAAGGGTCCCAGGAAAAGGAGTGGAGCTACCGAGCAGCTGTCAACCTTCCCCGAGAGCCCTGGGTCCTCCAGGTCTCAGGACCAGGCCGGGGGTTCCCCCTGAAGCCAGCCCTGCCCCTCTCCTCCCTTTTCACCCTCCTCCTCTGGCCCAGGGGGGAACAGTGCGGTGGCTGCCGGAGGTCCAACACCACGGATCGGCCCCACGCCTTCCAGGTCATCCTCTCCGACCGGCCCTGCCTGGAGCTCAGCGCGGACAGTGAGGCCGAGATGGCTGACTGGATGCAGCACCTCTGCCAGGCTGTGTCTAAGGGAGTGAGTTCCTCCCAGCCCCACCAGCCCCCCACCTACCTGACCCCAGCTAGGACTCATGGTGGCTTCTGTGAAGGCCAAGACAGGTGGCCTCTGAGGGGCAACCTGGGAACCAGCCCTGCAGCCTGGCCTACTCCAGCCATCACCCCCCCCCCAACCCCCCAAACTCCTGAAGTGGGCAGAGTCTGCCTGACTGCTGGGAACCTCCCCTAGGTCCCATCAGCCCTAGAGAATTCAGCTAGCCTCCTCCTGACCCTCTGCCTTGTCTTGGCAGGTCATACCCCAGGGGGTAGCGCCCAGCCCCTGCATTCCATGCTGCCTGGTTGTCACCGACGACCGCCTCTTCACTTGCCACGAGGACTGCCAGACCAGCTTCTTCCGCTCGCTGGGCACAGCCAGGCTGGCTGACATCAGCTGCACCTCCTCCGAGCCGGGCAAGGAGTACTGTGTCCTGGTGAGCTGGGGGCGGTGTGGCGGCAGTCCCCTGCACAGGGAGCCCCATCTGCTCACCAGGACTCATCTCTCCCAGGAATTCTCTCAGGATGGCCAGCAGCTGCCCCCGCCCTGGGTCATCTACCTGAGTTGTCCTTCTGAACTGGACCGATTCCTGTCTGCACTGGGCACTGCGTGGAAGACCATCTACCAGGTAACACACTGCCCTCAAAAGCGTCAGCTGGACCCCTGGAGCACCAGCTGGTCCCTGGGGGAGGAGGCTCCAAGCCACACCCAGAACTTGACCCTGCCTGGTGTAGGGGCTCCACGGTCAAGGTCGAGACAGGGCTACCTCCAGGATTTGTGGGCATTCAGGCCCCAGCATAGGTCTGCTGCAGCCCCTCAGATCCCCACCCCTCAATGCCTGCAGGTGGACCTCCCACACAAGGCCATCCAGGAAGCCTCCAGCCAGAAGAAATTCGAGGACGCCCTGAGTCTTATCCACAGCGCCTGGCAGCGGAGCGACAGCTTGTGCAGAGGCAGAGCCTCCCGGGACCCCTGGTGCTGAGGCTGCGCTGTTGGCGTCTCTGGTGGGCAGGGAGGGAGGCCTGCTGCCCAGCACATCCCCTGTGGTCACTGCTGCTCAGGGCCAGGCTTGCACACCATTCTGCAGCTGAATTCTGCCTTGAGCGGCAAGACCACAAGTGGGGTCTCTGCACCCCAGGGATCCAGAGAAGGGTGCCTGACACCCCTGGCATCCTGCCCAGCAACTGAAGAGAGCTGGGCTCCCAGCCCAACGGGCTTCACAAATGCACAACCCCTTCCCAAGACCTGGGGCCTTCAGTCCACAGCATCTCCTCAAGATGACGAGGAGAAGATTGTAGATTCTAAGGGGAAAGAGAAAGGAGTGGGAGGGCATGAGCCCCTTCTTCCTCTCTGTGGGTTGGGGTCCAGGCAGAGGCTCAGGGCTGCCCTGGGAGTCCCGAGCGCCTGGTTACCCTTGTTCATTTTTGAACACTGAGCCTGGATGTGCAGGGAAGCTGGGACACAGTCTGTGCATGGCTGCTCCCATCGGCACCATCCCCAAGCGCCTGTTACCTGCCTCTTTGGAGCCCGGGGCCTGGGCCGGGCTGCCAGAAAGCCCTGCATGCCCACCACCCTGCCTTCCCCTGCTACCCGGCAGGACCCCAGGACCCAGGCCACTTCCTTTTGCCCGGAGCAAATGGGAGGGAGAAGGGGCTTTGGAGAGGAACGATCGCCTCAGCCTTCAGTTTGGTAGTCACATTGACACCTCACTGTCCGCACTTGACTGAAGCCAGGCCCGTCCCAGTAGTGTTGTCACAGGCACTCTGGGAGAAGGGTCCGGTGGTTTGTGTTTTGTTTTTTGTTTGTTTGTTTTTTAAATAAAATAGACCTGTTATATTGCCATGGCTCATCACTGGCCTTGTTTTGAATAAAGATACAGGAGTCTCCAAGCCCTCATAGAGCCCTTCAGTTCATCGATGCATTCTACAAATATCCCTCTAAGCATCTGAGCTGCTGTTGCCGCACAGGACACTGGGAAGCACAGGGTTGTTGCCCAGGGTGCCCCATTTAGAGAAACGAGGCCTCCAGGGAGTTTTTTGGTCTGACCTTTGCCTTTCTGTTTCCTGCCTGAGTCCCAGGCAGATGGGATTACCCAACAGGTTTACATGGCAAGGAGTTATGCTACCAATCCAAAGGCCTGTGGATCAAAACCACTAGCTGCTCTGTGGGAGAAAGATGGGCAGTCTCCTCCCACACAGTTTACAGACTCTGAAAACCCCCTAAGGGATCAGCTGTGAGTCAGTCCCAACATATGGCACACAAAACTACACAGTAGTGAACAATTTCACACTTTTCTGCCACAGCCAAGATTCTGCTTCTGGCTTGGGCTGATATCTGTCCTTCCAAACCCACAGAACCTTCTTATTGAATCAGACTTGAAATTTACAACCCCTGGCCGAGACAGAGTACCCAGTAAGCAAGTAAGCACAGGTGTTGCAGACCGAGGGTCCCAAAGAATGGAATAATTTTATAATTACTAATAATGAGACAGACTACCAGGAATGATATAGAACAGAGAGTGTGAAAAACAGGAGGCCAACAGTTCCCATGACTGAAGGCCCCAAGACATGCTTCTCTGAGTATTTATTTAGAATCATAAGGAAGGTGAACAAAGTAAAATCACAAGGAAGTACAAAACAAAAACAAAGGATAATGGTGAAGTCTTTTACAGATAAGGCCAAGTTCCTCTTTATGCTAATCTCAAGAGGGAGGGATTCATTTGACACAAACTAAGAACAATGTTGATTCCTAGGGAATACCCCAGTACCACAAGGTGACCTTCAGCTTGTATTAAGCTTCCCTCATTTCCAGATACAGCATTTGGTCTACTATTATTAAATTTGATGTTTGGCTTCCCTCATTTCCCCCTCTTTTGTTTAAATCATAATTTTGAGATCATCAAAATGAGCATAATTTCTCTTCTTCAGGATTTATTCTTCCTTGTCTCTTAATCCTTTATATATAATCAAACAAATATAAGAAAGCAAAATAAGTTCACGAAAATATTTCCAGTAAAGCAGCATTCCCTGAGGGTCAGCTTCCATTGTCATGTTGCCATAGTCCCCATCAAAACCAGTTCTGATTAATCTCCTCTGTCCATGCGTCCTTAGCCGTTCCCTGTCACTCCTCCCTGAGAGAGATTTCACCCTGATTCATAAGGAAAATGGGGCGGCAGACTCTCTTAGCTACTTCCTGCTGAAAAGGGATGCTGTAGGTTTCAGGGTGAAGATCTTCTCTCACTACTCTGAAGGGCCCTTTGGCAATAGGAAACACGTATACTTTTGAGGAGATTGATTTTGGAATTTAGATGCACTGTTACCAATTGTGCTTAGGGATAAACGTTCATATCCTTGAAGATCCATAAAGATCCATCATGGAACTGCTGCAGTCTAGAAGACACAAATTTAACTAAAAAGTACATGAGTCAACAGTGAAAAGCAATAATATTCCAATTAGAGATTCTAACAATGATACAAATCAAGTTACAGAGGGAAGATAATCCTTAAAATAAAAGTTTTATTGGCTGGCACTTTGTCTATTATAGTGAAAGGGCTAGGAACCACATGATGTAGAGGCATAACTATGTCATTTATTGTTCTTAAGTTCTGGACCAAATTCCATTTACTGTTGCATTATTTTACAGCTAGGAAGGCCACATGTAAAGCAGAGGTGAAGTAAGGAACTGCTTATGAGGTTTTCTGTCAATTCCAACAACTAAGGAATAGCGAGAAGAGATAGATCTGAGAAGGCTTTAAGACCGAATAATTAGGCTCTTGTGTCCAGGAGAAAACTGATATACTTACCAGCAAA